TTTACCGTTTACCGACGGTTACCGGTTCGGTAAAACGGTAAACCGGTTACCGGGTTACCGTTTGTCAGCCCTAGGGTTATGGAAGGCGAGTGTAAAATGAAACGAAGAGGAAGTAGATGACGGAAAGTTTTTGACCATTTCTTTTAGTTGGCCATCAATACAAAAGTCAATCATTTTTCACCGTAGCAATTTATTGACACTTGCTTATGTAGATGTCGCATATTTTTTTACATGTAGTTAGTAAAAGTTTGTTTAGTACCTGTAAATGTACTAAATGAGTTTATAAATTCGCTCTTGCAATATTTTAGAGTCGTCTCTCTTTTATCATTTATTTAATGTTTCACATAATGAGGCAACCTAAATTTATACGTCGATTGGATTCATGTATTGGTTCAAAAGGATTGGTGGATTGTATTCATGGATTCAAGTGAAATCTAAACATTGGACCAATATGTAAATTTAAAAAATTGTAGGCACGAAAATCTCATAAAATTTAGATACCAAACATAATTGTTCAATGATTTTACATTAAAATTAAATTTGGGGTATCAAAATGTAAAATGTACATTATAGTGACTAAGTTGTGATTTAATTAAATTTGGGGTATGAAAATGTAGTATTTTATGCAACAGTAATCTTACTTCATATTTATATATATTAAAAAATTAAATTTGGGGTATCAAAATGTAAAATTTACATTATAGTGACTAAGTAGTAATTTAATTAAATTTGGGGTATCAAAATTTAATATGCAACCGTAACCTTACTTCATATTTATATATATTAAATTGTTTAGCCGCTGAACTCATTCGTTTGGCTTATGCTCACTCTCCTCATTTTCTTTTTCTCTATTCTAAACTTTCTAAGTTTGTTTATACATTATTAGAGAAAATAGTCATTTTCTCCAACAATATCCATATTAATAATTTGGATTTTGCTACGGTGACATGCATGTCACCGTGACATGGATTTTTCGGTCGACCTAATTCTAAAGACGGTCGACCGAATTGACTAATTTGGGCAGCACTAAAAAGCATTGCGGTCGACCTAATCTTAAAGGCGGTCGACCGAATTGACTAATTTGGGCAGCACGAGAAAGCATTGCGGTCGACCTCAATTCATAGCATAATTGATGAGTCCTTGTTATCATTATTTATGACTAGTTATGATGGTTTAAAGCGTAATTTATACGAGCAAAAGAACCACACAAATCGACATACATAAGCAAAAAAGACATGGGGCATAGGTTGACTTTCTTGTATTCGGTCGACCTCGTACCGGATTAGGTCGACCTCGACACCAGCACTTGATCTTCATTTTACGTCAAATGATTGGCTAAATTGATAGAACACTTATCGTCTATCTGGTCGACCTCTTTCTTTATCTGGTCGACCATGTTGTTAATGACTGCCATCAAGTGGTCGACCTATATACCTTTACGGTCGACCATGTTGTTTCTGACGCCAACAAAATGGTCGACCGAGGTTTATTCTGGTCAACCAAAAATAACAACTTAAGCTAAGAACGGTCGACCATGTGGTCTTTGAGGTCGACCGCAATGCTTTCTCGTGCTGCCCAAATTAGTCAATTCGGTCGACCGCCTTCAGGATTAGGTCGACCGAAAAGTCCATGTCACGGTGACATGCATGTCATAGTAGGCATACCCTAATAATTTTCCAATGACTTTTTTTGATCGATCTCATATTAGGAGAATCATATTTTGATGAACATACATGAATAAATTTTCTATTTTTATTTACAAGTACTTTCAATTATTTTTTTCATATAGAAAAAACTGAATCGTTTAATATGTTTCTTTGATACGACAAGTCCATGTTGGTTGACCTATTAGATTTGTGTCAAGAAAATTACTCAACCTGCCTAGCCTAGCCCCGCACAACATATGATGAATTGTACATTCACGAAGGGTGGTGAAAAACATAATTTGGATTTGTTAATTTGCTTGTCTATAGAGCATATTGTATAAGCTCCCGTTCGATTATTATTCTTGACCTGACTTATTATTTTTTGGTGAAACTTATGAAGATAAATTAAACATAATTTGATTTTGTTAATTTGCTTGTCTATAGAGCATATTGTATAAGCTCCCGTTTGATTATTATTCTTGACTTGACTTATTATTTTTATATTCGCTGAAAAAATGAAAAACAATCAATTATCTACCTTCATTTAAGTGTTTGCAAGTGCAAATGTCACATTAATCTTTTCCTAACATGTTTTATGATGTTTTTTTAATATAAAAGTAAACGAGTCCTTATTTGATGAAAGTTAGATTGAACTTGAATCTTTATGAGTGAGTCGAACATTTCCCACTACAATGTTATTCAAATATGAAATTACATGTTTCGAAAAAATGAATTCATGTCGTGATATTAAGAAATCAACCTCATTCGAGATTTATCACTCCTTGCAAAGCATTGTTTTTGTAAGATTGTATATTTTCTTTTTTAACACATTATTCACTCTTATATAGAAAAATCGACATCAATCAATCCGCCTAACCGTTGGCACTGATAACGTGTACTACCGGAAGAAGCAGATAAGGTGAACCCAACACAACAACAGGAGTAGTGCAACATTGCAATCATGATGATCCAAGGACTTCTATTGAGCATCACAAGCACGATGGACAAAAATGGAGGAGATTAGAAGTTTCGAACTAACCAAACATGTTTACATGTGTCGACGTTTCACTTTATTTAGTTAACTCATCCTTTTCCACATATTAAGTGCGCAATAAACAAATCCCATCATGACATGTGTCACAAATGTTGGTTGATGGAATTCCAAATGATCGTTTTAACAACTTTTCTATTGCTCTCTTCGACTCTTCCATCCAATCCTTTTTCGTTTCTCTATTATATGTACAACTTATCCTTTTTTCGTGCTGTTTTAAAGACGAAACACTTTTGTTTGTTGGTTCGAACATTAAGTACCACCAACCCTCGCTGTCTTTTAAACTTTAATCCTTGCCGTTGGACACATAATCAATCAACATCTCGTTTCCAACCATCAATTTGCAACCCTAATCAACTACAAAGGACTGAAAAAAATGAGTTGTCACTTCAAACCTTGTTAGCTAGGGGGATGAAAGATAAAGAGAGAGTTAAACTTAGTGATTCCCATCATTGTTTCTGCTATTTAGTTTGCCAACCAAGCGAGAGACACCCATTTGTAACAAAAATGGGAGGGTGTGGGTGGCGACCTGTTGCGGGTTGTTCCTCCTCGATTAGGGAAAACAAAAACCCAACATAAAGGAATGTTTTTCCCCCTTCTTTTTACAAGCTTTATTGTACGAAACCTCCCTGATTAATAGCTTTTGTTTAATTATGTGACATTTGTCCTCATTTCCTTTTACTTTTTAAAGGGATTATTTTTTTTTCTCTTGGGAAAGAGTAGAACCAACCATGAAAGTTTGACGATTGTGCCCCCAATAACACAGCCACATTTCTGGCCAAGCTGGTGGGTTTAAGCACCCTCCACAGACTCGCAGTGAGTTGCATCAAAATAGCATCTGCTCATTTCACTTTGAGACTTTCCTCAGGTCTCATTTCACAGTAGATGAGAAAGCTAGCGGATGGTAGAAAGTGGACTGCACATTGCGAGTCAAGTTGGAGAGGAGAACTCGATGATGCCAACTAAAATCCTTTGTCAAAGCTCCTCAACTTTTGTTATGGTGGGTAATCCGACAAACACATAAGTTACATACGAACGATGACAAACAGTACACAATGTTATATGATAATGCGACCAATATATAACAGGGTGACATGTACTAATATAAACCCTGAGAATGTAATTAGTAATATGAAAAAACATCGATTTTTAGTTGTCCCTGATTTATTAACATGCATGATATTAGAGCCTTCTAGCTATACTTAAGTTATTAACAAATGGGCTCGAACAACTAAATTACTATCAACATCCGATAAGTATCGGAAAGGTCATACAAGTTCCGAAAGAATAGAAATGTAAGAAAAGAAGTAGTTAGGTTCAGGAAGAAAAAAAAAAGAGAGAAATTATTATCAACGTGAAGATCATTGGGAAATTATGATTAGCGAGAAATTAATTGTAGTTCATGAACTTGGAATGGTTCATACATATGATGAAAGAGATTCATTCAATTTAACCATCTTATAATAATACATTAATTCTTTCGATCTGATCACAGAAAGAAACCCTAGCTAGCTAGACTGAAGTGGAGGGGGTGAGAGCAATTGAATCTGGTCGCAGCTGCCTTTGTTTAGTAGATATGCAGATGATATATAGCAGTACAACTGAATTTAATGAAATTTTGCTGTTAATTAATCATGATGACCCAAAGCCTCTGTTTCTCTTAACTCTCACGTAATTAACAATGGGCTGGGAACTACAGTTTCATGATGCATCAGAAAAGAAGAAGCATTGAATTGAATATGGTTGCCTAATTAATGTCTGATTTGTGTATGTGCTGGATTAATTATATTAAAATATATTAATTTACCTTTCATGAATCCAAACAGTGAATTTAAGAAAGAAGTAGCTAAGCTCGTCACACTACCAATATTCCTGTCTTTCTCTTATGTTCCCAATGCCTAACCATTAATGTGCAGCCAAGTCATCCCCCCCATAGCTCATTATTATTTTATTGCGCATTGAATAATGGCATGATAATGCGAGCTCGAGAGGGATGGAATTCAAAGAGTAAAGAGCAAAAAAATAAGCAGAAAAAGACAGACCCATAAATATAAAATATTATATAAAAAAAAACCCAGAAAAGAACATTCACTGATATGGCAAAAAGGTATAAACCTGAGGGAGCCAGAGGTTTTACATAAATAGCAACACAATGTGACCCCTCCAAACATACCAAAAACACAAAACCAAGAAGAAAGAAGAAGAAACTCTATCATCATCATCCTCATTTTCCAAACTATACTTTATAATAATGAATAGGAAAAAAAACACATTAATATATATCTTCTCCCAATGTCACTAGCTAGCTGTTTTCTTCATCTTCATAATATCATAGCATCACTTTCTTCTTCTCCTTCTCCTTCTCCCTATTCTTCTCTTCGCTAGCCATGGAGAGACAGAGAAATATACTGATGAGCAGCAAACCACCGCCGGCGAACGACCACAAAAGCATCACCGGTGGGGGAGCCCACACTGGATCCTCCCCCTCTCTCTACAAGGCCAAGGACATTCCACCGCCGTGGAACTACACCACCTCCACCACCGCTTCCAGCGGCGGCGGAGGAGATCACAACCCTAACCCCCACCACCAAGACTACCTCACCGGCGGCGGCTTCTCGTGGCCGCCGAGATCCTACACGTGCAGCTTCTGCAAGAGGGAGTTCCGGTCCGCTCAGGCCCTCGGCGGCCACATGAACGTCCACCGCCGCGACCGGGCCCGCCTCCGCCAGTCACCTCCACCACCACCACCACCACCTCCGTCGTTAGATCACCAACATCACCATAATATAAACTACCCCATACTCAACCTCAACCTCAACAACCCTAACCCTAACCCTAGCTTCTCATCTCCTCCTCCTCCTCTCCAGCTGGTCTCCACTCCTTCTCCGGTGAGCAGGAGATCGCCATGGGCCCCCATTGAGGGTAGAGTTCTGGACCATCAGGCGGTGGGCCGGGTCGTCGCTGTCCCGGACCATTTGAGTAAAGTCGGGACCCGGAAGTCTCTCTTCGGAGGAGAGTACTCATCGTCGTCGTCGTGGTGCGATCATCATCATGGAGCTAATAAGTTCCGGAAGAGAGGTGGAGATCGGTTTCATAATAATAATGATGACGAGGTTAATGTGAGTTTGGAGTTGGAGATCGGTGTCATTACTGGGACGACGACGACGTCGTCCAAGAATCATCATCATCATCATCATGAGCAGCAGCAGCTGGATTTGGAGCTTCGATTAGGCATTTGATTTACCATCATTATCATTATTATTATATGTACTACTCATGTTTCCTTCCTTCCTTCTTTCTGTCTTCCCTGCTAGTGTAAAAGTGTGGGAAGGAAATTAGGTAGCTATGAGTTAAATTTTGTGGGAGGTGGAGCTAACATGGTCAGGTAGAAGTCACTTAGTGAGGAGGAGAAGTGGTGATGATTGGGTGGGCATTGTTGCACCAAAATGGCCATGCCCGGGAGCTCTTCCCAGCTCTCATTATGAGGGTCAATTTACACCAACGTGGAAGGAGGAAGAAGATGAGCATTTGGAGGCAGGCAGGCACGTATTTCCACTGCTTATTATTTTTTTGCTTTTATTTTTGTTTTGTTGTTTCTTTAATTCCAATGTTCATGAGAAAAGTTGGCTTATTAATTATGACATAAACCAGTTTCCTTTGTCTTTTGGGTAATTAGATGATGAGTACGTAATTGTGTGGTGCTGATGATGGTGCAGTTAAAAATTTGAAAGGGGGGATTTGGCCATGTGGGGTCTTGTTAGGTAAACTGTAACTTAACAACATAAGACAGTTTCAATTAGATTCATCCATTTTGTTTCTTTCTTTATCCAGCTTCCATGTACGTATACTACTTTAAATTTCTGGTAACTGTCTTGATCAAGTTAATAATAAGTATCAATTCTTTCTTGTCATATTCAATATCTGGTGCATGCTTGCTTTCGACCAAGAGATTATGGATATTCGTGTGAAGTTACATAACATTATTTGTGCCGATCGATCAACGCGCTTTATCGTCACGACATCATAGGTTAATGTTATGATCGTATGACGATCGAGTCGGGTTCTTTTATACCATCCTAGTTAAGCAAGCTAAGCTTGTTGCTTAAAGAACATAGAAGAAGGTCATGTTTAATTATAATAATGATATGATTAGCAATATGTTGGGGAGTTGCCAACATTATCTAGACAATGATCTATCGGAAGGAAGGAAAGGTTGTGAGTCACTGAAGCTTAGAAGTCGGTGAGGATTAATTATGAAGTCAGATTATATGTATTTGTATGCTTTCCTTTGAGAAGTGGTCTTTTTAATTAATCTTCATCAGACTTTTCGATTTTTCATGGTACGTGTGGCAGCGCTATCGTCTGACGTCGTTTCTTGCTAAACGGCCTGCTTCTACTTGCTCATCAGTCAGCAGTACTTAGCTTCCAAGGTCACGACAGTTATATAATTAGCATATATTTAAAAAGAAGAATAGTCAACGCACAACAATTAATTTGTGCGTAAGCTGGAGCTATGACTCGTTGAACTACACAGTTTATTATAAGAATGTCAACTCCCAGTTACCGCTGGTATGCGGCGTTTGGAAGGGACAAGAATGGGATTACTGGTACTTACGTGTTTCTTCTTCATCGATGAGGAGAAGAGTTGAGTAACGAGGAATTGAGGAATTCCAATATATATGATATTGCTAGAGTTGCACTTAATGTATAAGAACTGTCATGTATTAACCTATACTGAATTTCTTGCAACATAAGTCATATATAAGATTATGAAATCAATTAAAGTCATATATAAGATCATGAAATCATGCAAACACGTATGCAATCGTTCTAACTACAGAATACACCGTCTCTCCTTAAGAAATCCTAATCCATTTTGATAGTTAGGGTTACAGAATGATTCTTCCCTGATAAAAAAGACATGCCTTTTTTCGACGTCGCAGTACCTCAACCCCCGAAAAACAACAAACGCAGCGAATCAACGAGAACCACAGTGACTCGAGTTTTCATTTGGAAAGAATGTAGAAAAACTCAATTTGGATTTTGGCAGAGTTTCAGTATAGTAAAAATCGCGTATTACAAACCCGAGGGGTTTGGTGTTATTTTATAAATGAAGGAATGCGTACGAAGGGAGGTGACTCTCTGCAGGGGTGGTTATACCCCAACTCTTGCATTGGTTCTCAACCATTGCATTGGTTCGTCCCATGGTAGTTGGACCGATTGGTTTACTCCAACAACCACATCGGTTTGGTTCAGTTCAAATGAGTTTGGGTTGGTTACACCAATCAATCTACCATATTATCAATAATTTTAATCAAATCCAATCGCCCAAATCCGTAATCTCCTTCCCATATCTATTTAATATGGTATTTCAAGAGCTTCTCTTGACTTCTTTCCCTTTCATTCCCAACCATCCCATTTAAAATTCCAACATCAATCTAATGTCATAATATGGTAAATATTTTGTCAATAAAATGAGTTTTTTTAAATGATTTGTATTCATCTATTAATCGTACATACTACCATCCATAACAATGTCATAATCATATATCCAAGTTTTATGGACTCTTTGTTGATTTTTACCATCTCATTTTAGTTGTTGTAGCAATGTAGCTTTTATCTATACAGAAAATATCGTTTGAGTTATGATTTGATTTCAATCAATGATTGATATACGACTAACTTATAATAATGTCGTTCAATAATTTTGACTGCAAAGCAGGAGGATATGTTCATGCAAAGTCCTAGAGGATAGAAGATCAAACAATTTCTTTTCCGTATTTCCTTCGGATGATTTGGAAAGATCAACAAGCTATGTTTCGTTTAATTATTCGGCTCACTAAAACTTAAGAGAGAGAGTAGAAGGAAATTGACATGGCCCTAGCTTATTTTAATGGGTCTTTTTCAACACATTCATTTATTTAAATATATATTCCATAGGTGGTGGTACAAAATACATATAAAATATTAATTGCCTTATTTCTTAACATCATTCTAGTGATCATGAAGGTATATTGGGTAAAAATTCAGGAACCAAGTTCCAACACAAGGATCCATGACTCATGAGTTTGTAGAGCACACAAAAGGCCATGATGACACTGCATTTCCCCCTTTTGTTTTCATTACATCTATTTGTTAACTTTCTTTCTCGTTGCTTTGGTTCCTTAATTTATTACTGGCCAACTACCCATGTCCTTCTACTCTCACATCCTCAATATGGCTTCAAATTAAAGGGATACAAATATGTGCAAGATTTATGGATTGAACTATGTTCTGAAAATACTCGATTGTCCAAGCAATACAACTTTGTAGACATTGATTATGAGTGACAATCGCACATATATCATACTCATATTCGTTTCTCTTTGGATTTAAATTAGATAAGATATATTATTGCAGTAAAAATCAAGGTAGATCGACATATCAGGGGTTCAATGATAGAATGCCAACATAAAAAAAATCATGTTCAAAATGAAATTTCAAAATTTAATATAAAAATGGATGGAAACTGTTTCATGAGTAAGAAAATAGGCTATGACAAGAAGTATGAAATTAAATTATTTGACACATGAATACTAGCAATTTGTTATAGCTATACTAGATTTATAATATGATTTAACAAAAGTCAAAACGAGAGAATTCGTGTGTAATACAATTGAGTCTGAATGACTTGAGAATGAAGAACGGGCATGGCTACGTATATACTACGGGAAAACTGACTTTTGGCAACACTTGTCCTGCAACACTTTTTATGAGTGTCACGTAAAATAAAAATATGCAACACTTTTATTATATGTTGCTTAATATATATCTTATGCAACACAAATTAGCCGTACTTGAATTTTTGTGGCATATTCCTAAATAATATGCAACACTTATACACTAAAATAAAATGTATTGCCTATTCTTACATTGTAGGCAACACTACTAAATTAGAAAAAGTTACAAATTATACGAAATAATATTACACGTGAATTGAGAAATCCTAATATAAATGTGAAAATGAGTTTTGTATATCATGACTCATGTGGGAACTTTAAAAGAGAAGCTTGCACCACCAATTTCAAAGACAAAAAAGTATAGAGGAACATTTCTAGTTCTGATTCATTCATCACACTAAGTAAGCTCATCGTCCACCGGATTAGTCTTTATTCGGATCAAAATTAGCTTTTCTGACAAATCATATTGTTACCAATATATATTATTGTCTAAGATACACTGTTGTCACGAATATTGTATCATAGGTGACAAAACTTTCGTAACAAAAAATGCTTTCGTGACAAAAATATTGTAACCAAACAAAACCCAAGTAGATCTAAAACATTGTTGGTTTGATTGCTTAAGTGATGTTAACGTTTGTTTTTAATGTATAGAATATTAAGACTAATAGTAATTTTTGACACTATTATAGGTTGATGAATGGTTTTTTATATAAAAGATAAGTAAAACAAATGGTGTTAGTTGGTTAAACAAAAAGAGAAAATGGTGTTAATTAGTTGTACACGGAAATAGAATTGAAGACTATTCTAACTACAAATTAGCCAAACTTGTGAGATACTGAGATCATATATGCGAAAAGGATTTTTTATTATCTACACAATTCCCTCTTAGACTAATATATTTACAAAGGAAAGTACTTTTAATAGTTAATCCCTGATTTTTCTCTAAATATCTTATTGTGCGTTTAATGAGAAAAAACCCTTCAAATTCAGCGTCTCTCCTCCATAGCGCGTTTTCCCTCTACTACTCCTCTTCTCTCATGGTTCCTCAATCCCGGTCGCTGCTATGAAGTCTCGGCCCAGAAGCAGCTAGTAGTATTGCACTTTCGGTAAGTTAGCACTCAGCACGATATCCTCTTTATCTTCTTCATTACACGCTGCTGCTTCTCCAACGTAAACTTCCCTCTGCCTTCTATTCAAAAAAAATTTTTTTGCTAAATATTTATATTTTTTACGAAATCTCCTATTTCACGAGAAACTAAGAACAACCATTAATCTTGGATTGATTTTGTTAATTGATTATCTTATTATTTCAATTCTCTATTTGGGGCTTTCCCGTAACTATGCTTTACAGGTTTGAAGTAATCCTTGTGAGCTATCGACCTCAAGAAATAAAGCAAGCAGTTAAGGGCAGATGAAGTTGTGGCATTGTGGGTAGAGTTTTATATATCAAGAGGTTCTCGCAAATTTAGTTGAGTAGCAGCGGAAATCAGTCGTTGACAATTGATACTTTCCAAGTAGAGCTTCAGGAACAGAAGAAGAGAAGTGTTGCTTCTAGAAAGAATTCCATGAAGTTTTTGATTTATCTAAAGATAATCTAATTAGTTTTCTGTTTTGTTTGATACTATTTAGTTTATATGGTTAGAGAGATTGGAAATTCGTCAAACTACGAATCTTTGTATTTATAAATATACCTCATTTCATTGTTCTTTGGTTTCTATAATATCACGACTAATGTATATCATTTTCTATAATGTATAATTGTTACTGATATTATCGCATGTGATAAAAATAGTAGTCACGAAAGTGTTTTTCGTGACAAAGACCCCATAACTTCAGGTATAATTGAACTAATAAAAAAAACTTGTGACCAATGTTGTTGCAATAGAAAGGATAACTTTGTCACGAAAATTTGAATTTTTGACACTACTATTGTGACGAAAACCTCCTTTATTACAAAAGTACCATCAGAAGCGCGACTCGTTTGTGACAATTGAAATACATTTTGTGATGGGATTACCTCGTCACTAGTATATAGTACTTGTTACAAGCAAAAATTGTCACGATTGAATACCTTTTATGCGACACAAAAAATCCGTCACGAATAAACATATACATGTTGGTTATACTAGTAAAAAACTGTTGTTGCATATACTGTATACATATGCAACACATATTTTTTGT